GAAGTTGTCCTGTTATATTCCCTTTTTGTGTGTATTCCTCAGAGTTTGTTGTCTGTTGCTGGGGGCCCTGTGAAGGGCTGAGTACCACAAGGTCGAGTCTCAAAAACAAAATGAAACAAAACCCAAATCATTGACAAGGGAGAGTACCAGAGTACCTGGATGTGTCTGTCCTGTAGAAAAGGAATGACATACGTACAGTTTTCATATCGAGAGTGAGAAAGCAATGGAATTACTAGAAAATATTTATCCTCAAAGAAAGCAAGAAAACATTTAGAAGGTCATTAAAATAAGTGAGACAAGTAGAAAAAAAGGTTTACTGCCCATGTGCTGGCAACTGCCCTCAGAGTAAGAGCAGCTGTAGCTCTCTTCTCAGTCCCAGGTTCTTTTCTTTGTACAGATTTTGGCCAATTAGGAAAGTGACTAAGACATGAACAAAGTCTCTGATATTTCTCAGAAACTGTGAGGGGGACCTTTAACTTCTTGGGCAGATGTCAGTGTGGATGTAGCTGCGGAAATTGTCCCCAGACTCTCCACATTTGAATGTCACCTTAAAGCAGACTGTTCTGTTCCTCCTTTTAGAATCACTAGCTCACTAATCAAGTCTCTACCTCTTTATTTTTTTCTTCCTTGGGTGGATTGCTACCTTTTCCCATGCTGATACTTTTATTTATATAATTCTCATAAATAAGGCAATAATTCTTCACCAAATCTCTCTGCCTGGGATAATAAAATACTACAAAAAATGTCAGTACACAATCCATTTTAAAAAAATTTCTACAGTTTTTAAAAAACTGATACATGACATCTTAAAAAGTTATGCATCTGTATGGAGTGCCATGTGAGGCATGGGTACATGCATACACTTTGTAATGGAAATTCAGCTAAACATATCAGTCTCCTCACGTTTTTATCTTTCTGTTAAAAGCAGTCAATTATTTTCTTCCAGTTTTTTGAAATTTATAATAATCATCCTCACCTATGGTTACCCTACTGTCCAAGACCACACTGGAGCTTCTTGTTACTAACCACATTCCTTTTTTGATGTCTGACCAAAACATATTTTTTTTGTAAGAAAGAAATGTCTAAGCAAGGTCACAGAAGCCCTAGTGTGTCTACAGCATTGCACACTGAAGGACAGTGGCTCGCAATGACAATGCTGAGGCATCATAAGGTACAAAGTGCTTTCTGAATCCTAGAAGTTAAATAGACCCACAGTGGGTGTTGGTGTGCTCACATAGGCTGGGAGTTAAGTACTCTGGCATTTGATAAACAAGAAAACCAAAGCATCCAGTCATATAAATTTTGGTGATATATACTTTGGTGATAGCAAAGTCTTTTTGGTGACACAAAAACTTACGACACTCATACTGTGTATCTCTATACAGATACTTCTGAGTTCCAACTTCTTGGCCACAAATACAGGCCTTTGAAGAACTGTTGATTCTCAAGAATATGCATAGGGCCAGTGAGATAGCTCAGTGAACTAAGTGGCTGCTTAGGCAAGCACAGGGCCCTGTGTTCGATCCCAGGCACCACCTGCCCTTCCGGCCCCACCTCTGGGCGTACTGAGCCAGCCACTGAGACAGGGAGTGGTGATACCTGCTTATAATCTCAGTGCTGGGGAGGTTGAAAGAAAGAGGATCAGTACAAGTCCAAGCTGTGTAGTAGTGAGACCCTGTACCAAATACATAAAAAAAATTAAAAAAAGAATATGCATCAGCCTAAATATGCATATGCATAAAACCTGAGTGTAAGCTAATGAATGAGGAGGAAAAAAAAATATGAGAATCAAGATGTCTATATTTCTTAAGAAAAGTCACAAAATTGGTAATAATATAGGAGAAATTAGATACAACTTTTAAAAAGGATAAGTGGTAGAGGCTACATTCATAAATACTTTGTGAAGTATTACTATTCCTGTAAAGATACGACACTTTTCATATGCATACTAATTTAGTTGTACATTTGTTTGAATAATAACAATATCTAAGTACATTTAATGAATTCAAGAATCTATCACTAAGCACATTCTTACTCTCCGCATTCCGTATTGAAGGGGTGGAGTGGCCTGTTAGTCCTCTACACTCTTGCCAAATCAGGAGCAGTATCTTATTTTATGAAATAATACAAATTTGTTTGTTTTTAAGAACACCAAGCATACCTCAGTGTGATCATCAGCACTCTTCACACAGCCCCAGAGCCTCGCTGGGGAGCACAATGTACACAGTTTTGACCCTGGAACCCCAGAAATAGCAGCAGGTTGCTTGCTTGCATTTGTCCTGACTGCTGCTAGGAAGGAGCTCTAGGAAGCTGTCCCTAGACGCTGTTTCTCCATTCTGCACCACTCTGGAGAGCTGGGAACTGTTCTGGCCATGTGACTCTATCCCAGAGATCTCCTCTCATCCAAAAAGAAGGGCTTAAACCACACTGCCTCTTAACATCTCTTGAAAAATACTTCCAGGGACCCTGTGTTTGCCTATAGCACTTTCTACTATTCTTCGAATTGGAGAGAGATGGTGAAGACAGGAAATGACTTTTATTTCCCTTGTATTTGTTTCTTAATAAGGGAGCATTATTAGTCATGAACATATTTTACTTTTCTTTTTGTTTTTCTCTGGTGGCCTGTGGGACAAATATTCCCACTAGCAACAATGGCTGGCAATGGCAGAGATGCTTCCCAGGCCTCGGGTGAGGGAGTGGGTCTCTTCACTCAAGAGCAAGAGCAGGTACTGAATTCTCTGGGGTAGCGATATGTATATGTGGTTTTCCAAATTTCTCAGGTGCTTCTGATTTACCCGTGCTTCCAGCTGTTCCTTACTTTGTCATGTTAGCCTCTATGTTGCCATTTTGGGTGTTCTTCTAACAGTAAAAGTTGAATCACAAAGAGCTTACAGATGTATTTACTATTGGAGGGTTGGGGTGGCCTGTCACGCCTCCACACTCCTGCCGATTTTGTTTGTACAATGCAGGGAACAGTATTTTGTTTAAAAAATAACACAAATGTGTTCGTTTTTAAGAACAACATAGATTAACAATAAGGCAGAAATATATGATAAAACTTCCAAGGTGTAATGGGGTCACAGCTAAACACAGATATTAAAGAGCTCCTGAATGTTGAGTTCTAGAACAGCCCACTGCCATTCCCAGAAAACCGAGGTATTTGTGCTACTTATTCATTGTATCACAAGGAAATTTTTCTTGAGTGACACATAGCTGCTGTAAAGAACGATGAATTATATTGGTCTCTGCATAGAGTGTTCTTGCTCTAAATTAAACCTGATACTAAGCCTGAGGGGATTGCATCATGTGCGAGAAAATGGAACAAAACAACACACAGAAACTCGGATGTTCTCACTTCTTTCTAGTTTACTTTCAGTGCCGTTTGCTCTGGGAGCAGTGGTTTAAAATTTCTATTTCATTCTGACATATGGTTCTAGGCCAAGCCACCTCTCAGTGTCACTGTGTCACTGAATGCAGGGAATTTGTGGGTTCTGACCCCAGCTGGCCTGGTGTCAGACTTTTTAGTGTCCACCGTGAGGTGTGCTCGGCCCAGTCCCGAGGCCTTGGACAACTGGCTCCCTATTTTGGAGCCTCCGTTGGCTTAAATCTGTGAGAAGGGATTTTTGACTTAGAAATAAAGAATTTAATGAAGAGATAAATGTTATGTATGCTTACTATATATGCGAGCAGGATGGGTTGGCCAACTGTTCTGCAGATTTCTGCTGATCTATGGAAAGGAACAGATAATGCTTAGTTTATTTTGTCTCCTTTTTTCAATTGTTTCTCCTTTTTCTCACATATTTGTTTCTTTTTTTCTTTCTTCTTCCAATTTTGCATGCATATATCTGGCAGTATGAATACCTGGTTGGAAGACTATGCTATGCATTACAACCAACACTGTGAAATTCATATTACTTTGTTAAGTGAAATTCTGTATCACTTGAAATTTTTCTGTTGACCAGGGATTGAACTCAGGCCCTTGCACTTGCCAGGGAAGCGCTTATTCCACTGAGCCATCTCCCTGGCCCCAAGTTTTTCTGTTTTAATACTATCTTGTACTCTCTTTAAAAAATAAAAAAGTTAAAAAAAAACTACAGGCTTCTACCCCCTACCCCCAGAAATAAATAAATTTTATTTTTTGGTGGTATAGAGGATCAAGTCCAGCGCCTCGGCTGTGTGAGGCGAGCGTTGTACCTCTCAGCTGCATCCTCATGAAGAAGTCAGACTTTTAAAAATAAAGGGTCCTTTTCAGAGCTGCCAGTCAATGGCTGCACTGTGTGTTTTTGGCCTTTCTCAGCGCCTTAGCAGAGGAACACAGCTGCATTTCTAGGAAGGATTCAGTGATACTGTCCCTGACCTCACCCCACGCGAAGACCACTTGGAAGCAAGCATCGGGTCTGGAGCGAACATGGGAGACTCTGGCTCCCGGAACCCTCGTGCACCCTGCTCACACTTCCCTCTGTGTCTGTGTCCATCTTCAGGTCCAGGGTTCCAGGTCAGGGGACCCTGAGGCGCTGAGAGCCAGCAGAGGAGCCTGACACAGGAGGGCAGAGCCCAGGGAGGCAGCCATGCGACCTAGTCTTTTCTCTGCCCAAGGCTGTCTCCCTCCAGGGAGAGGCTTTTCCCTGGATTATGCAAATTTAGACTTGAAGCCTGTTCTAGTCTCCAAAGTATTTAAATTGGGCATCGGGGAGCTGTGATCCCCATCGTGTGCTCTGCAGCAGCTGAGGCAGTAGGAGCCTCCAGCTCACAGCAAATTTGTTTCTCAGTAGCTGCCTTCTCACAGGTTGGGACTAGGGACTGAGTAGGAGCTCTTCTGGGGTCTCTGGGTTGGGAACATTATTACCACATGCTTTTCATGGTATATTAAATTCCTTTGGATCTCTCCAGCTGGTTCAAGGTCTGGAGCCAAGAGGCCATGTGTCACTTGTTTCTCAAGCTACTTGGGTTAGGAGTAGTGCTGGAATAAACCAACCAATGGGTTTAGATGAGAATCGGGGATGAACCACATAGAGGTCGATCAGCGCACAGGTCAGGCGGCCTGTGCTTGGCACGCAATGAGTGGGGGTCATGGCACACTGGAGGGTGAGGGAACAGCAGGCTCTACATCTCCTGTCCTTGTTTCTCTTTCACTCCTTAGGGGGGCCACAGCTACCATAGCACAAGACGTGGAAAAAAAATTCCAAGAGAACAGTAGAGAAAAGCAAGACCACTGCACATCCTTGCCTTTTGGAGGCTGGAGGCCAGGGCAGTGGGGTGTGGGGCTGGGCTTCAATCCCTACTTGATCCACTTAGCCAGTGATCACTACCCAGCCCTGCAGCTGCTCAGGGCCCTGGAACTGCCCCTTGGGGTTTCCCTCTTACCTAACCCTGACTCTTAGAGCCTTGCTGGCTGCTATGGCAACAAGCTCCAAGGTAACAAAGGAAAGAGCTGGATGCTTTCAATGAGGATTTCCAGACCAAAGCGGCTGAACTTCCCTGAACTCCCTGTGTCTTTCCGTGCCCTCGCTCAGGTAAAACTCAGACGTCCACCTCTGCCGGCAGGACCATGAGCCTGACCATGTGTGAGTGGAAGAAAGTCTTCTATGAGAAGATGGAGGTGGCAAAGCCAGCTGACAGTTGGGAACTCGTCATGGACCCCAACCTCAAGCCCAGTGAGCTGGCTCCTGGCTGGAAGCAGTATTTGGAACAGCATGCCTCAGGCAGGTGAGTGACCTGCCGAGAGCCCCGCAGATGGCCTTGAGCCACAACCAGAAGGCACCTTCCCAGCAGAGAGATAGTCTGTCTGGTCCTGTGTTCAGTCCTACTCCTCTGTGCCAGCTCAAGTGGGGGAGCAGAAGAAGGACTTCCAGGTGGGTCACGGAGACCACTTCTAGTTACAGCTGTCCCTACACAGTCCCTGGAGTGACTCTGGCAAGTTGTGTTCTCCTTTTGGGTCTCTGTATTGCATATTAAATGATGAGCAATAATATCTCCAACGGCCCTGCAATCTCTGGCATTTAAAGTGGTAAGAACAGAAAGTAGGAAGCTGCACTGGACCTCAGCCCAGGTGTTGGAAGGGCGGGGCATGCTCTGGACCTGGGGTTGCATCTTCAGGCAACTGAATGCAACTTGATTTGAAGGCAGAGACTGTTCCTATCACGTGCTAGAAACTTGATTTGTATCTAACTCCTTTTGTTAAAGTTTTCTCTCTGGCTCTGAGCTTTTACATTTGCAAAAGGAGAGGTTGGCTTTTGATCATCAGTCAAATTTCTCCCAACTCTCGTATCTGTGAATCTATGATCTAAATGAATATCTTTGGGCAAGGCATCTCTTGGGTTCTTAGGCTCAGGGTCCCCTCTCCAAGAGATGTGTCCCTCTAACCCTCACATCTTTCCATCGTTTAGACTGATTTGAGATGGAGACTACAATGTTCCTTGCTCAAGCTGATCTGCAGGGTCAGCACAGTCCCTTGATTAAAGGGATGCCAAGTGCAGCTTGGATGCGTAGGCAGAACGTGGACCCAGCGCCACCACTGTTGACACAGGTGCAAGCATAGCCCTTCCTGGTGCAGAACCATGCCGAGGGTGGAAGGGAAGGAGGCAGACAGACCTGTGTACAGTCATTTGAGCCTGTCTCAATGAAAGTCAATTCGAATTAAATCAAGAGGCTTCTGTTGGGCACCTGCTGTGTGCTGGCCCCTGGCAAGCTACTAAGTAGCTGTATGCATATGGTGGCCCTTTTACTTCTTGTGCCTCCTTCCCATTTTAGTAGAATAAGGGTTGACTAGATGATTCTTAGGATCTCATGCAGTTCTGGCAGCTGTAGATTTAAGATCAGGGGTCTGGCTAGAGGGTGGGACAGGACTCTGGGCTGATTCACTTAGAGAAATGCAGAAGGAGGCTGAATATAGGAAGTTCCTCAGCTGCCTGGAGAATGAAATGCAAAGGGCTTGGGTAGGGCTTGAGCTTAAGCACTGAGGTTGATGGGGCTCATGGCTCCTGTGGCTTCAGAGCTCAGATGGGTCTCTAATTAGTTGGTGACTTGGGCTCGCAGCAGGGCTGCAGAACTGCTGTCCCTCTGTTCCAGCTACCTTTAAGCCACTGGCCTCATTAACCCTGGTGCTATGGCTCAGGACCCATCGGTCCCCTCTGCTCTGCCAGTCCTGCCTGGGTGGTGCTGGGCGCACTGCTGTGCATACGCTGCTTGCCTCCCTGGGGCGGGGTGTGGGTTGGCTTCATGTCTACTCACAGCTTGGGCCCAGCAATGCTTGGCATACAGCAAGCCCTGAGGGGAGCCTATGGAATCCAATCAGTTCCTCATCAGAAATCCTTCAAGGCATAGATAAAGCCAACAGAAAGGCACCATCAGCCCAGGGGATACCCAATGCCTCAAAAGTCTGGGCGGGTTTGGGGGAGTCCTTTCTGGGCTGCTAGGCAGTGAGTGCTCTATCCCTAAATGTGTGTAGGCTCTGCGGGAGGGTGGGGAGAGAGGAGCTTGGCTAAGTGTGTGTGTGTGTGTGTGCATGTGTGTATGGGTGAGAAGGGTTAGGGATCAGAATTCACCTTTCCAGTCTTCACTGCAGGGCTGCAGTGGAATCTTGGGATGACTTGTGAAGGAACAGGGATGGTGAAGATACACGGATCAGACTTGGTGCTCCCTCCCTGGGCTAGCTGGTCACCACCCACTCATCCTCAGAGGTCTCCTGAGGACCTGCACTGGGCAAGGCATCTCTTGGGTTCTTAGGCTCAGGGTCCCCTCTCCAAGGGATGTGTGCTTGGCATGTCTCCTTCCAACAGTGAGAAAGATGTGTGCGTCAGACAGCGTAGGTTGCCTCTATTACCCGAGTCGCAGGAGTCTGAGTAGGACCTTCACTGGACTCCATGGTGCTGCATGTCATAGACCAGAAATGAGGTTGTAGAGGGTGGTAACATATGCCCACTGCATGCAGTAAGCTGAGGCTGCAGGGGGCCAGCAGGAGGCCAGCTACAGAGCATGCTGGATGCGTGACTCTGCCGAGGATGCTGCCCTTGCCCAGGGGTGTCCACCGGGAGGAAGCTGCAGCTGGGGGCTTCTGAATGCTAATGAGCCCACCGGGCAATAACCACTCTACACATTTTCAGGAAGCCTTTCCCATGTGGGCTCCCCAGGGAGGACCGCTGGTCATCACACCTTCTTCTCCTCCCTTCAGGTTCCACTGCTCCTGGTGCTGGCACACCTGGCAGTCGGCCAATGTGGTCATCCTCTTCCACTTCTACCTGGACCGGGAACAGAAGACAGGCTCGGTGCGCATGCGCGTCTTCAAGCAACTGTGCTACGAATGCGGCACGGCGCGGCTGGACGACTCGAGCATGCTGGAGGAGAACATCGAGAGCCTGGTAGACAATCTCATCAGCAGCCTACGCCAGCAGTGCTATGAGGAGGACGGCGGCCAGTACCGCATTCACGTGGCCAGCCGCCCCGACCGCGGGCCGCACCGCAGAGAGTTCTGCGAGGCCTGCCAGGAGGGCATCGTGCACTGGAAGCCGAGCGAGAAGCTGCTGGAGGAGGAGTCCGGATACTCCGACGGCTCCAGGCACAAGGCCCAGGCAGGCCTCGGCTACAACTTCTTATCCCTTCGCTGGTGCATCCTCTGGGGCTGCCTGTGTCTGCTCCTGGCCTATCTGCAGTTCTCCTTCCGCAACCCCGCCTTCCTTTAGTGGGTGGGTAAGGGCCTGGGAGAGGGCGGCCGGGTGAGACAGCATTTGGGTCTGGTCCTGATGCTGTTAGGTTCTGTACAGGGCCTTGGACCACCGTGCCTGACCCAAACTGCTCCTTTGTAGAATGAGCGGTCTGCACTAGGAGGTGTTCGCTAGTTCATCGATTAGGCCCTACAGCGATGAGAGGAAGCGGCGAAGGGTCTAAGGGAGCGTGCTAACTTGTAGTAGGAGACGCATAGGGAAGCGTCCTGCTTCCTTTCCTTCCTCCCGCTGCATGTCTAGGCCGCCTTTTGCTTTATTTGCATATCCTGTGCCCCATTAAAAGTCAATACGTGGTTAGGTGCTGCCTGGGTCCGGACTCACGCTGGTCTTGCTTTCTCTGCGTGTTTCCTTGTGGAGTCCTCGGTGAGGAGCAGCAGCCCCGCCCAGGACACAGGGATGGATTCTCCGGGTCTCTCTTATGGGAAGTTATCTTTGCAAGAGGCTCCAGCTCTGACGCAGGTGTTAGGATCTGCTTGGCAGGGATTGGCCAGGGTCGTACAGTCTAATATCTGCCACTGGCCATTTGCTGGTATTTCTGTTTCAATTAATTAAAATGAAATAAAATTAACAATGCAGTTCCTCAGTCATGCCAGTCCCAGCTGGGCTCACACTGAGCACATGTCCCACGGGGCCGTTGCTCAGCCGCAGTGACGTCGTCGTGGTGCACGAAGATGAGGTCGGGTTCAGAGGTCATCCTCAGGGTCCCAGAGGTCTGTCTGCCTTTGGCCTTCGTGCACCGTGAGGTCTCACAGCAGCACTAAGGGACAGGACTGCGATGAAGGCCTGGCTGCCGATCAGCATGTCTTACTAACGTTGTGGGCTGTGGGGCTGGCTCCGGCAGGAAGGTGCGGTAGGTGCAGACAGGAAAGCTGAGGCTCTCAGGTGCTGACTGTGAGTGGGGAGGTGGGGGGTAGGGGAGTAGGGGGGTGGGGGAGTAGGGGGTGGGGATGGGGGGAGGGTGGTGGAAGGGGGCTCCAGGAAGCAAGGTGGAGGAGCTAGGCCTGAGAATTCCAGATCAGCTCCCTCTGCTTCTTAGTCAACCTATCCATGGCTTTTTCACATTTATTTAGAAAGACCTTGGCTGTCCTCTAACACTCAATAATTTAAAAGAAAAAAAATCTTTCAAAGTCAAGTTTCTTAGGAAGGAGTAGTTTCCCTTATCTCCTCCTGAATCCCTGGAAATCTCATTTCCGTTTCCCCTCAAACTGCCACCCCAGCGCCACTGCTGAATGGTTGGCTCTTTTGTACATCTTTTGTCCTCTTTTGTGTGTCTTCTGTTCCTTGTGTATTTTTTTCTAATTATTTGGTACAGGGTCTCTTAGTGACCCTCCTGTTTTCAGCCTCCACAGCTCTGGGATTACAGGCGTGCGCCACCACGCACGGACTCGGTGGCAGGCTCAGCACACCTGAGGGGCCAGGCCGGGGGGGCGTGTGGTGCTGGAGATCGAACCCCAGTCCCTATGCTTGCCTAAGCAGCCTTGTATAATTTTAAATTTTTATTTTTTTTTTATTTTTCATTTTATTTTAGAAAGAAAGAAAACATAAAGAAACACAAAGACAAAAACAAAACAAAATAAAGCGAAACCAAAAAGAGACACAGAATTTCAAAACAAGACAATAGGAGATTAACAATAGTTGTTATGATACATATCATTATCTTTAAATTAGTTACTCAGATTATCTAACTTAGACAGGAAAGATCAATCAAATAATTAAGCATTAATTGTTCTTTTCAACAAACCAATAGAAATCGATGCTACAATTACCCAAGCTATTGTATTATCATATCTGTGTGTGTGTGGGGGGGTATCCTCTGCTTCTTTTCTCCTTTTCCTTTCCAAACTGTGCCTTCCTTTTAAAAATGATAAACTTAACCACGAGAACAAGCTTTAAAACAAGCTATTAGGACAGCTCCAATAGCTGATATGCTGTGTATTGCTGTCTCTCTAGCAGTTAGCAGGGAAGACGTAGGTAAGCTATCTCATCTGCGCATTGTCTGTCTGACTCTTGAGCTGCAGTTTATATTCCTTCTTGAAGATTCTAAGAAAGCTCTCGCTCCTCCACTTTGGCTTCTCTTTGCTCCACACCTTCTTCTCACTTGCCCCTTATAAGCTGCAAGGCTCTGGGATTCTCTCCTTGCTTTGAGCGTTTTCCCTCAGTAACATGATGCCCACTGATGAGTTAGGGTTTCACTGCATCTTGTTCCTGGTTCTCATCGCTCTTCAAAGCACCCACACTGCACTCCAGGTCCTCAGACTCTGGGAGCTCTCGCCACTGAGAGCTCCTCTCAAAAGCAACGTGGCCACAGTGGAGCTCATCGAGTTGCCATTCAACCTTGCCAGCTGACTTCTCAGAAATCCAGGTGTTACCCCTGAGCCTCCTCACTCTGCCCTCCCCACACAAGTTGGACCCCACATTCCCTAGCCTGTTGATTGTTCCTCCGAAATATCTTTGGAATCGATCTCCTTGTATTCCTTTCCACTTACTGCCATCCAGACCTGCTCATTTGGAGTTTTTTGTTTTTTAATGTGTTTTGGTTTTTTTTCATACCTATAGCCTCTCCAATTAGAATATGTATCCTTTCCTCTGCTGTTGGCCTGGAGTGAACTGGTAGTACACACTATGATCAGCAAACTCCCCTCATTAGATTCCTCTGAGTTCCCTCCTGCCAAGGGTTGTCATATAACCTCTTGAGCTAGGAACAGAGCTATACAAAATCCATCTGTGGGAAGAGTTTGCAAGAAGTTTGTAGACACTTGATGTGAGGTGCACTCCGTGTTCATGGACAGAATGAATATTTGTACCTTATCTTTCATGAGGCCAGGGTGATCTGTCCAGGGCGGCTTTACATACTGCCTCTGTGCTGTAGGTGTGGAAAGAAGGTACTATTCTAAAAACACTCTTGTGTATCTTCGTGCTGATTTTACACTTAGAGCAAGCATGATCTTCACGGATTGCTCATTGGTGGTGGTCTGCGAAGTACTCAATGAATAGAAAAGTAAGGCATGCTAAGGAGTGCCGAGCTGGGACTCTTGAAATCTGAGTATGAGTCCCACAGTACAGTGGAACGGGTCAGGACAAATCATTAGCATGCTTGGATAAACAGGGCATGGACGGTTCTGAAGAGTACAGCTGTGCTGTTTTAATTTTCATTCACAATTCAAGATCTATATGCTCTGGTCTGTTTTATTCTTCTTGGCCTTTTCTAGTTCCTGGATCCCAAATATAATTAGAAATAGCTCCTGAACTGTGTGTGGAGGCACCTGCCTGTAATCCCAGCACTTGTGAAGCTGAAGCAGAAGGATCCTTGTGAGTTTGAGACCAGCCTGAGCTATATACTGAGCTAAGAGAGAGAGAGAGAGAGAGAGAGAGAGAGAGAGAGAGAGAGAGAGAG